CTCTTTATATAGCTGTCTGAGGTCACCACCAATAAATTACTGGTTTAAGGAAAACAATGATAAGCCTTTTCCATGGAGAACAGGGTTTGCTCTCTCAATTATTCCCTAAAGTCATGCCCTCCTTCCCAGTTTGACACCATAATTTTTTAGGCAACAGCACTGAGTCTGTTTGTTGCTGCTCTTTACTCCCGCAGAGTCACACAGCACCTGCCACAAGAGCATGGCAAACTTTTCGGACAATCATCCTCCTGGCACTGGAACTAGTGGAGTAATGATCATTGCACTGTTAAGTAAGTGGCTGTTTTGTTTAAATGACTTACCAGGGTGGCTCTAAATTGACTATATTTGTTTTCCAGTCTAGTTTTTTCTCTGTGTAGGAAATTTGTTGACTAGTCTTGACTGCAGTAAAGCATTAATGGAAATCACTAATCATCTCATTTTAGTGAAGGCAGACCTTTTAAACATTCAAGATATAACTTAAATCTAGGGTCTAAATGGCTCCATTCCCCGCCAAAAAAAGAAAAAAGTAATAATTTTCTAAATTAGTATAGAGCTGTAGGATGGAAGGTCTGAGTTTGTTTTCAAGCTAATTTTTCATCTGTAAGTGTTAGGGACAGAAGGATTTAGGGAAGGAGGAGAGGGCTGGCTGTGGTTAGGCAAGGGACAATTTCTTCCACTTAATGCCAGCTTGGAAATAGTTGACATTTGATACCATTGTCTCTTTGAGATTTGTAACCCTGTGTTAGAATTACATGCCCCTTGAGAAACAGTCTCTCTTTTTTTAATCACTTGGGAAAACATTAACTTTCTCTTTAAGTATCCCTAACTACTATTAAGGAAGTCTGTACATTTTTCCTCTTTCAGAAACCAATCAATCCATTTTTTTTTTTTTTTTTTTTGAGAGAGAGACAGGAGAGGGGCCAGCGAAGGGACTAGAAGACCCTGTATATTCTGAAGGCCTTTAATGCCTCCTGCCATCAATCTCCTCCTGGCACCTCGTCCTTCCTCTAGCCTCCTGCCATCCACCACTGGGAAGAGGTCTGTTCCTAAGCTTTCTGCCTGGCTAACATGGAGACAATTTAGGGACAGAGTACAGCTTTCCATCACACACACACAGATACGCACACACTCACACAAATCAACCAGCTGCAGAGCGAGCAACAGGAGGTGGCAGGATGCTTGCCACTGTGTCACTGGATTTGTAAGCATCCCCTCCAAACTGTGGCCAATGCTAGTTATTCCCTGGGCTGAAGCCAACCTGAGAGTTGGGGACCCTGCCAAGGCCCTGACAGCCCCTAAGCCTGACTCTGTTGCCAGAGCCACATAGGAAAGTCATTCATTCTTTAAAGAAAGATTCAGTAGATTAAGAAGCCCTGTATTTGTTCAACAGTGGGCTAGCTGGATAGAGGATATCTGGGCATTCACTTTAAGGAACCTAAAATATTGGGGGAATAGAGTATGACATGTACTCATTTAAAAGCTGAGTAACATCACAAGGGATGCCACTCAAAGCAGTATGTAACTAAATGCCAAATGACCCAGGCTTCATAGCCAGACTGGGTACAGATCCGCACTGTGAAGTCACAGGCCAGTTCCTCATCCTCTTCAGACCCTAATTTCTTTACCATGTAATAGAGGTAATGGCACCTGCCTTGTAGAGTTATTGAGGGGATTATATGAGGGCGGTTGCACATAACAGGTGCTCAATACATATTTGAGTTTTGTTTGTTTTTTTGTTTGTTTTTGAGACACAGTCTCGCTCTGTAGCCCAGGCTGGAGGGCAGTGGTGCAATCTCAGCTCACTGCAACCTCTGACTCCCTGGTTCAAGCTATTCTCCTGCCTCAGCCTCCCAAGTAGCTGGGATTACAGGCTTCCGCCACCAAACTTAGCTAATTTTTTTTTTTTTTTTTTTTTAGTAGAGACAGGGTTTCACCATGTTGGCCAAGATGGTCTCAATCTCCTGACTTCGTGATCTGCCCACCTCAACGTCCCAAAGTGCTGGGATTACAGGCATGAGCCACGGCACCCTGCCATTTTGTTTTTTAAAGAACATCATAGAATAGTTGAGAATAAGGTTTAGGTAGCCCAGTGGTAATAGAAGTTTAAGATTAGCCCAGTGGAAAACAAGCATTCCTTGAAAAGAGGAAAGGATTATTGTGAAAAAAGTCTCACACCTAGTAGATACTTTAGAAGTGGAAACATACATCAAGGGAGCCCTTCTGATTCCTTTTTGTCATAAAATTTGTTGGCTCTTTTTATTAATATGAAAATGTTTCATGTCTATTACAGAAAATCTGGAAAGCATAGAAAAACACCAGGAAGAAAGCAAAAATCAAATATGTGAAAACCCCTATAAACATTCTGGTTTTCCTCCCCATGTTTTCCAAATGTCTATTTTAACATAAATGAGATCACACTAGATTCACAATTCTGAATCCTGCTTTTTGCAATTAATGTTTCATAAGTATTTTCCCATGTCACTAAAAATTCTTCACAAATAGTATTTGCAATGTCCACATGGAATATCAGATATGGATAAACCAAAATCTTGTCAACTATTCCACTAACAGTGGTTATTCAGGGCTATTCAGACATTTTGCTATTTTTAAAAATGCTTCCACAAATACCTCTGTGGCATAAGTTCCTGTGAGTGGAATTACTACTGTTCTAAAGTTTCTGCTGAATATAAAATGCTTTCCAGTGAGGTTGTCCCAAGCCACATTCTCACCAGTGACAAGCGAGAGACAGCTGGTCTTTTCAAATCCGGAGAGCAAATATTATCTTCGAAAAAAAAAATGGATTTTTGCCTAATTTGGTAGTCACCAAATAGCATCTCATTGTTCTTTTAATTATCTGCTTCCTTTTAATAGAGATCCCTAAAAAGATCTGAAAGGAGTCTTCAGATAAAGGAAGGAGCTTTCTTTTGTCTGCCAGCAATCAACAAATATTTATTATGCAAACCATTTTGCTCCGAGTTTTATCCTCTTTCCCTTTTTGGACAGATTTGGGAGATTTCACCTTTCAGGTTTTAGATATCCTGCAGCGAAGAGTTTTGAGGTGCAATGCAGCTTACAGTACAGGATAAAACAGACTGATTCTGCCACTACCAGGCTTTGTGAAAAGCAAGTCACAAAAACGTTCTGAAATTCCAGACCTTCAATAGATAGGATCTACCGTGTCTATAAAAATATGAAGATCCTGACGTTTTATTAAAGATTCGAAAAAAGTAAAAGTGTTTCTCCGGTTTTGTTTTCATTTTTATTTCTTACTTTTATCGTTTATGATAAAGGATATTATAAAGATAGAGATGAAGAGATATATAGTGCAAGGCCTGTGAGAAGAGGCGTGGAGCTTCCGAAGCCTCTTTCAGCCACCACCCTCCAAGAATCTGGAGTTTTTTGGGTTTTTTTTTTAATTCTATTTATCATCTATTTATAGAGGAGATAAATATCATCTATTTATCAGGAGATAAATATTATCATCTATTTATCTCCTGATTAGTGTGTGTCCTAACTTGTTCTTTTCTGTGAGTCCCATCTCCTGGCTCGGATATCATCTTTCCTGTATCTGTGAAAGGGCAGAGCAGATGAGGACCTTCACCCAGAAACATTAGAGGGGGTCCCAGACAAAGGGGGGAAAGTCATGCTCTGTAGAGAAAATGTTCTCAGCCTCCGGAGTACCTCTGGAACACTCCAGACTGAAATGTTATCTTTTGATATAGAAAACTGGGTACAGTCTGGGCCTCTCCTCGGCCTCGGGACCGGGGCGGGGTGGGGGCGTCTCGGGTCCTTGTCGCGGCGCAGGCACCTCGGCCCCAGCTATCCCCGCAGCGGCCACTCAGCCTGCGGCGCAGTTTCTCGGCCCCGCCCCACACTCGCTCTCTGGCCACACCCAGACTCCGCGCCGGCGGGAAGTGGCGCGAGGTGGAAAGCACTGTCTGCGCGCCTGGTGCAAACCTCAGCCTGTCTGGGATAGCTTTAAACGTCCGACCCCACCCCTACTCCGCCCCGCTCAATTCATCAACCTAATTTCTGATTCGTGCCAAAGCTCGTCCTCCGCTCAAAATAGTGGAAGACGCCGAGTGTGGGGACTGAAGACCTGGGTTCCAGCCCGGCTTGGAATCCCTGCCCATCCCTGGCATTTCATCTCTCCGGGATTATTTGCTGGTTCCTCCGCGTGCGGGCCTTGTCGGGTTCACGCTGGATCCCCAGCGCCTAGAACAGTGCATGGCACGCGGTTCGTCCTTCTATAAATATCTGACCAAATGCATCTCTGTGATGGCAATACCCACACGGTGTTGTGAGAATGAATGAGTGATTCTATGCAAGTTCCTCGTGACCTGTTACAAAAAGTACTGGTCGCTAAATTAGTCTTATAATAAAGCATATTTTTAGAATAATAAAGTACTATTCACGAATTGGTTACCACTATTATGAAATTACTGAGCAATACACATCTATGTCTGGTCAGTCTTCAGAATTATGCCAAATCCTACCTTCTACTGAAAGTATCTACACCTGACCCTGGTGATGTTGTGAATTTGCACAGAGTTACATCGTCCGAGGGAAGGATCTTATTTTATCTTCTGAATGGGCTGCGAGTGCGGAAAGCGCGGGGAATGGCGTCGGAAACTCGGCCCTACTTCCAACATTGCCGCCTACTGGTTGGGTTACTCCCGCAAGCCACTTCCCCTCTCTGGGCCTCAGTGTCTCCACTGTAGCATTCCCAGGTCTTGAATTGCATCCATGTTAACGAGGATGGACGCGCCAGACGGAGACGCGCTTCCCACCTGTCTTCAGGCGCATCCCGCTTTCCCCAAATTTAGGAAACGCCTCTGGGAGGTCCTGTCCGGCTCTGGACTCGCTCCGCGACCACCCGTGAACAGCAGGGTCCCCTAGCCGCGCACCCCTCCGCCCCGCCCCTACGCCCTCCTCCCTCGCGCATGCCGCTCTCCCCCACCCCGCCTTCTCCCTCCCCGCCCCAGCAGCGCATGCGCCGCGCTTATAACGTGTTTTTATAAAAGTCCGGCTTCGGCCAGAAACTTCAGTTTGTTGGCTGCGGCAGCAGGTAGCAAAGTGTCCCCGAGGACTTGAGTGCTCCAGTGGCCACCGCGTCTGGAGAACGAGCGGTTACCATGGAGGGCATCAGTGTAAGTCCAGTTTCAACCTGCTTTGTCATAAATGTACAAACGCTTGAACTTAGAGCGCAGCCCTTCTCCGAGTGGGCAGAAGGGGCCAGGACTTTGGAGGTACGCGTACTCCAAAAAAGGGTCACGGAAAGGAGTTTTCTTGACCACGGCTATATGAGCGAGGGGATAGGATTGGAATCTTTTTCGCTGTACGTAGAGGAGAAACGACTGGAAGCAGCGTTCCAGTGGCTGCATGTGTCTCCCCCTTGAGTCCCGCGGCGCGCGGCGGCTTGCACGTTGTTTGCAAACACAAGAAGATTCTGTGCACAAGCGCAGAGAAGGCGTGCGCGCTGCCCCGGCACTCAGACCACCGGTCTCTTTCCTTCGGGAAGCGGGGGTTTCATGGAGCGAGTTACGTTCTCTGGATTTAGAGGCAGAGGGCGGCACGCCTGGGCTGAGTTCCCAGAAGGAGATTGCGCCCCTTTTTAACCTAGGGGATAAGCGGCTGTTACTGTTCTTGACGTTGAGTGTGTGTTTGTTAAACTCTGTGCGGCTGACGGAGCTGTGCCAGTCTCTGGGCACAGTATGCAGAGGGCGGGAAAGGCGGGTGGACCCACCGCGCCGATCCTCTGAGGGGATCGAGTGGTGGCAGCAGCTAGGAGTTGATCGGCCCGCGCGCTTGGGGATTGAGGGGGAAACCTTTCGGGCGTCCGAAGCGCAGCACTTCCCCACGACCGCGAGTGGGTCCTGCAGTTCGAGAGTTTGGAATCGTGCAGAGGTGGTGGGATCAGAGGGGTGGTTTGACCTCCCCTTTGACACCGCGCAGCTGCCAGCCCCGAGAAGTGGGCTCCGGGGACTGGGGGGACCGAGGCGGTTAGGACCGCACCTGGGCTACCCGGTCGCTGCGGCAAAGACAGGCAGGTGCAAGTGGGGAAACCGTTTGGCTCTCTCCGAGTCCAGTTGCGATGTTTAACCGTCGGTGGTTTCCAGAAGCCTTTTGAAACCCTATTGCTAGGGAGTTTTTGGTTTCCTGCAGCGGCGCGCAATTCAAAGGCGCTCGCGGCGGAGCCGCCCTGTCTCTCCCCAGCACCCTGTGGGACCGAGCCTGCTGGCGTGTCGCCCAGCGGAGCCCCTGCAACCCTGCTTGTGGGCGGCAGGCGTGGGCGTGGTGGGCAGCCGTGACGGTCAGGGCTGGACGACCCGGCCCCCAGCGTGCCCACTGATCCAGTTAACCCGGCCCCCAGCTGCCCATCTCCGGCCGGGTTAACTGGATCAGTGGCAGGGTAATGGGAAGCCACCCGGGAGAGTGAGGAAATGAAACTTGGGGCGAGGACCACGGGTGCAGACCCCGTGACCTTCTCCACCCAGGAAAATGCTGCGTTCCCTAACTTCCCAAAGGCGCCAAATGATAAACACGAGGATGGCAAAAGAGACCCACGCCCGGGAGGAGCGCCCGCTTGGGGGAGGAGGTGCCGTTTGTTCATTTTCTGACACTCTCCCAATATACCCCAAGCACCAAAGGGCCTTCGTTCTAAAACTGTATTTGCTTTACACACTACATGTTGCTTGAAGCGCAGAATGGTTTGTGTTTAGGCAGGCGTGGGAAAATACTGTTTTTGCGCCTTAGGAGAATGAGTCTTTGGGACGCCCCCTCCCTTCCCCCCCGTGCTCCTCCCTCCCCTCTTCCCTCCCTTGGGGAAAAACTTCTTACAAAAAGTTAATCGCAGCCCCATCTCGCTGCAGCCACCCCACCCCCCACGCCGCCTGGGAGTGGCCTCTTTGTGTGTATTTTTTTTTCTCCAAGGAAGGTTTTTTTTCTTCCCTCTAGTGGGCGGGGCAGAAGAGTTAGCCAAGATGCGACTTTGAAACCCTCAGCGTCTCAGCGCCCTTTTGTTCTAAACAAAGAATTTAGTAATTGGTTCTACTAAAGAGGGATATAATGAAGTCACTATGGGAAAAGATAGGGAGGAGAGTTGTAGGATTCTACAGTAATGCTCTTGTGCCCTTAGCCTAGTACTTCAGAATTGCCTGAAGAAAGCAAGCCTGAATTGCTTTTTTAAATTGCCTTTTAAAAAAAAATTTTTTTAACTTGGATAATGCTTGCTGAATCGAAAGTGAATGTCCATTCCTTTGCCTCTTTTGCAGATATACACTTCAGATAACTACACCGAGGAAATAGGTTCCGGGGACTATGACTCCATAAAGGAACCCTGCTTCCGGGAAGAAAATGCCCATTTCAACCGGATCTTCCTGCCCACCATCTATTCCATCATCTTCTTGACTGGCATAGTGGGCAATGGATTGGTCATCTTGGTCATGGGTTACCAGAAGAAATTGAGAAGCATGACGGACAAGTACAGGCTGCACCTGTCAGTGGCCGACCTCCTGTTTGTCATCACGCTTCCCTTCTGGGCAGTTGATGCCGTGGCAAACTGGTACTTTGGGAAGTTCCTATGCAAGGCAGTCCATGTCATCTACACAGTCAACCTCTACAGCAGTGTCCTCATCCTGGCCTTCATCAGTCTGGACCGCTACCTGGCCATTGTCCACGCTACCAACAGTCAGAGGCCAAGGAAGCTGTTGGCTGAAAAGGTGGTCTATGTTGGCGTCTGGATCCCTGCCCTCCTGCTGACTATTCCCGACTTCATCTTTGCCAATGTCAGTGAGGCAGATGACAGATATATCTGTGACCGCTTCTACCCCAATGACCTGTGGGTGGTTGTCTTCCAGTTTCAGCACATCATGGTTGGCCTCATCCTGCCTGGTATCGTCATCCTGTCCTGCTATTGCATTATCATCTCCAAACTGTCACACTCCAAGGGCCACCAGAAGCGCAAGGCCCTCAAGACCACAGTCATCCTCATCCTGGCTTTCTTCGCCTGTTGGCTGCCTTACTACATTGGGATCAGCATTGACTCCTTCATCCTCCTGGAAATCATCAGGCAAGGGTGTGAGTTTGAGAACACTGTGCACAAGTGGATTTCCATTACAGAGGCCCTAGCTTTTTTCCACTGTTGTCTGAACCCCATCCTCTATGCTTTCCTTGGAGCCAAATTTAAAACCTCTGCCCAGCATGCACTCACCTCTGTGAGCAGAGGGTCTAGCCTCAAGATCCTCTCCAAAGGAAAGCGAGGTGGACATTCATCAGTTTCCACTGAGTCTGAGTCTTCAAGTTTTCACTCCAGCTAACACAGATGTAAAAAGACTTTTTTTAATACGATAAAGAACTTTTTTTTAAGTTACACATTTTTCAGATATAAAAGACTGACCGATACTGTACAGTTTTTATTGCTTGTTGTTGGATTTTTGTCTTGTGTTTCTTTAGTTTTTGTGCGGTTTAATTGACTTATTTATATAAATATTTTTTGTTTCATATGGATGTGTGTCTAGGCAGGACCTGTGGCCAAGTTCTTAGTTGCTGTGTGTCTGGTGGTAGGACCGTAGAAAAGGGAACTAAACATTCCAGAGCGTGTAGTGAATCACGTAAAGCTAGAAATGATCCCCAGCTGTTTATGCATAAATAATCTCTCCATTCCCGTGGAACATCTCTTTCTTTCTGTTCTTAAGAGGTTGGGTTACACTATGTAATTTTGCTGTAGAAGATGGCACTTATTACCAAAGCCCAAAGTGGTATAGAAATGCTGGTTTTTTGGTTTTCAGGAGTGGGTTGATTTCAGCACCTACAGTGTACAGTCTTGTATTAAGTTGTTAATAAAAGTACACGTTAAACTTACTTAGTGTTATGTTCTGATTTCTGTTGACTTTTTTTGGCTGGCAGAAGATAAAAATAATAATAGATACGTTTATAATTTGCAAAGTACTATCCTAGGTATTTCATTGCAATATTTTATTCAACCCTTACCACAACTCTGATAGATTCTGTTACTAATTACATTTTATAGAAGAGGAAACGGAGGCACAGAAAGCCTAAGTAACTTGGCCAAAGGCATGTACCAAATACCAAAGCCTGTATTTCAAACCAGGTAACATGACTTATGAATCTGAAGCCTTAACCGTTTTAAATTCAGTTGGAAGTTTAGAAATGGCCAGCCGGCACCCATTTGTGTGAAAGATTACCTTTCAGAAGGATAAGCCTGTGTAGAGAGGAAAACGTATGCAATAGTGTTTGGATTTTACTCCACCGTCCGCTTGTGAAACCCAGGTCTGTGCAATGGCAGGCCTTGTGTGTTTTCTCATCTAGTCTCCTTGGAGTAGATAACCATCACTCCCTTTCCACAGACAAGTGAACTGAGATTCAGACACTTCCCATACATTGCACTTTCAAGGGGGCAGAGCCAACAACTAAATCTGTTTATTGTTCCAGCCTCTGCTCTTGACTATTACCTACTATTGTCCTTCAGAACACCTGGGCATAAGTTAACTGCTAATAAAGAAAGCCAAAAGTGAATGTTTTCTTCATAAAATTAACCATGACCAAAATACCCCTTCTTGCAATATCTTCTATGCAAATCTCAACACTTTTATTCTTAAACTATTGCAACACCTAGCACCTCCTCAAGGACTCAGCCAAGCAGCTACAAGCTAATATTGGTATTTATTAGAGTCAGAAGGAAGGTCCACTGAAGCAAGCTCCCTGTTGCTCATATTTTGCACAAGATTTTGGAGTCTTGTGTAACCACCCGTAGCTATTTACACGACCATTGTGTAAGCCCCAGGCTCTTGAGTAAATTTCAGCTCTGGTTTCCATTTAAAGATAATTTCTAAACCAGCCATACCTACCTCACGTTGGAACAGAAACAGGGTACTCCAGGCATGCACTCAGATAATACGTAGGATATAATTACAGCAATATTTGGTCTACTTTTAGTAATTGTTTCTGGCACAAAAAATCCATTTTGGAGGAAAAATTGCAATGCCTTATCTTTCTGAGGCAAATCACATTTGTTCAAGGCAAATTATAGGTCCTGTGAAGGGAAATAACTTAATTACTTAAAATAGAATCCAATTTGGCTGTGCATTTTTGCTGCCATCTATGTATCTGGGGTAATTCAGAGTGGTATTCCTATTCCACTTGAGGACACAATTAGATTTCAGATAGGAAATTATCTTGAGGTTTCTTGGTTTTCCCTGGGAAGCCTAATTGGATCACCCTTCATTTAAGCATAGTTTTACATGTACTCTCTCAAAGGCTTAGTCTTAAAGCCAAGACCGTGGAGACAGACTTCACTTGAACCCTCTCTATAAATATTTATTCTCCGGGAGACAATAGAAGAAATCCTTGGAAGGCATGCTTTTTCTTTATCACCTTGGCTTGAAACCTCCCTACCTCAGATTCCTCTCCTTTGCCGTGGAGTCACAACAAAAGAAACTGAGCCGAAACAAAATTCCCAGTGTCACCAGTCTTAATGGATACTTCATTCTCCCTGGAAACAAAGGTGGGATAGCTCTTTTTCAAAAAGAAAAACAAGCTTTGGCTCTTTCCCTGCCCCAAAAGTGTGTCCCTCACCCCCATCATTCTCTGTCCCAACCCTGCCATGTTAGAGAGTCTCCAAAGTGTTCCCTGTGTGGTGGTTTGTCTGACAATGAGGGGAAACCCAGTCTGTTAGCCAGCCCTTGCCTGAAGTAGCTGATTGTTCCCTCTCACCATCCCTTATGAATGGGGCCCTTAAAGGTCAGTCATGTAGATCCAGTTGTATAATGGAATATTTAAAATATTTAAATTGTATGCATGCTGCCAACAACAGCATTAATATGACATCTAACTTATTACTAACATTAAGCCTGTAACTAGGGGGGAAAGTGGATTTTTTTTTCTTGCAAAGCCTTTGTTTTCCTAAAATGACACTTGACAATTTAACCCCCCCTACTGTGGGCTTCTCAGCCCCCTTTTACAATTATGCTTACGTTAAAATAATGATTCTGGGATACTCCTTTGGGGAGGTACCCTACAGGCTTTACTGTAATAACTGTTTGTGACGTTCTCCTAGCTATTGTCATATATTAAATAAAGGCTCTGAAACAATTGAGCTGTCATTATTCCCTGATAATACTCATTTAGGAGAGGCAAGGATCCCTGGAGACAAACTTTAGATTACTTTGGAAAATAATCTAAAGTTATCCCCCAACACCTAGAAATGTAAAAATGCAACCTTGCAGCCTGGCATCGTAGGAATTTGTTCCAGCCACGTTGAGTGTGACTTGGCCAGTCAGTGCTGGAAAGACTCTGCAAGCAGCCAGATAGATAGCATTCGCATGGGCACAGGCTCAGAGGGAGGCTGGTGCCTTAGGGGCCAATAAAATAGTTGAAATGAATTCTTTAAACGCAATGGTCATCAACAAGGAAGCAATTTGCCCACCAGGGAACATTTGGTAAGGTCTGGAAACATTTGGGGTCATCATATTGAGGAAGTAGGGGGGCACAGAGAGGAGCAGTAGATGAAGTGCTAGTGGCATCTAGTGGGTAGGGGCCAGGGATGCCGCTCCTGTTACTAATTCTGCTTCTGTTACTAATCACATTTTATAGAAGAGGAAACAGAGACACAGAAAGCCTAAGACATCCTACGACACACAGGACAGCTGCCACAACAAAATCATCTGGCCCAAAATGTCAGTAATGCTCAAAATTCTATCACCCTCTTTTAAGGTGATAATAATTATCAAAATAAGGATATAGCCAACCAGTGTAATTCTCCGAAATAGCATGAATCCATAAAAAGCTTGGTGTTTGCTATGTTCTGAATGTTAGTATCCTCTCAAAATTCTCATGTGGAAATCCCAGCCCTCAGGACGACGGTATTATGAGACAGGGCCTTTGGGAGGTGATTAAGTCATAAGGGTGCAGCCCTCGCAATTTGTAGTGCCTTTATAAAAGAGATGCCAGAAATCTAGCTAGCCCCTTCTGTCAGATGAGGAAACAGCTAGAAGGTGCCATCTGTGAACCAGAAAGTGAGCCTTCACCAGACACAAAATTTGGTGGTGTCTTGATCTTGGACTTCCAAGCCTTCAGAACTGTGAGAAATAAGTTTCTGTTATTTACGTGCCAGCCAGTCTGTGGTATTTCTTTATGGCAACCAGAACCAAGACACTATCACTGGACAGGGTTCCAGGGTGAGTCTCACTTCAATGCATTCTACTCGTTCCCACCTTACCTAACTCCCACAGTTCTCTTCCACACTTATTTCAGTGTCACTTTGTCACCATGACATCTTTCTCTTTGCTTATTTTCTTCTCTCATGGGAATATCGGCTTCTCAAGGGCAAGGACTCTGTCATTTCTTCTCTGTTCTCTGATGGACTGCCACATGCTGTGCTAAGAAGTCATCCTACAAGGGAAAATAAATGGTAAAATGCTGGGGATCCTCATTCTCATCGAATACCTGTCTAAAGCCCACGATGTTTACCCATGTAATCCTCACCACTGCCTGTGACGCAGTTTGGATCACTTCCCATTTTTGTCCTTTTATTTAAAAAAATGAGTGATGAGGTACCAGCCTATTGTTCCATTGTCTGCAACTGTCTCAGATTAATTTAAGTCAATTTTATCAAGTCCAACAATTAAAATATTCTAAAACCTTCTGAAAATCCTTCTTTCAACTAAAAATGCAAACTGGCTATAGGCTGACTTGAGGGATCCATAATGTGAAGAAGTCACAGAAGAGACAGAGTTTTTGAAAATCAAACAAACAGTGCTCAACCAAGCTACACCAGGTGCTGTGTGTTTATCTGGCACAGTCAGTCCACTATTAAGTTGATTTACATATTACAGTTCAATTAACCAGAACCCAACTCATCAACACTCTTAATTAAAGGGAATTACTTCCTCGTATTTGACTCTGTCTGAAGAAAAGCAATGTATATTGAAATTCCAGGCACTCTCATATATAAGATGCAGGAGTCCCAGCGATATTGCCAGCTCCATTTTCAGGCGAGGGCACAGGCAAAGTTTAACTACAAATAAAGGAGTTAATGTTCTTTTCACTACACACACCATAAATGTGAAACAAAAACAGGACAACCAAGTTCTAGGGCATGTCTTCACATTCTCAATATATTCAGTGTAAACTCCCGTATCTTTCTATCTCTAGTTCGAGTCCTATTGATAGCAATAACAGTTAACATTGACCTTGAGGGCTTACTACACTCCAAGGGGCTTTGATTATTTAATCTTCATAACAGCCCTACACAGCAATTATTATTTGCCTATTTTACAGATGGGCAAACAGAAGCATAGAACAAAGCTTAAAATTGACGCAATGTCACATGTTTTACAAGTGGTAAGGCCTGCATTTGAACCAGGCAGTCTGATACCAGAGTGTGCCTCCCTAAGCCCTACAGGAACTTTATTATTTACCATGATGTTAGTCAATATTCAGGAAAATTAACAGGGTCAAAAACAACCTTTGTGTTCTTCAGTACTCTTCAGGGTTGAAGACTAGACACTCACCTGATTGTCCTTTTGTAAATCACAAAGCAGACACTGTCATTTTAGAAAGATTTTCACTATTTGTGGTTGAAATAAAATGGGTTTCGAGTTAACCTGATTCACTATGCCTGGCATATAGCAGGAGCTTCATAATATTTTGTGGAGTAGGCAAATGAATCAACACCCATAAATTTCTATTCTTGGGAGCACATAAAATTCTCAAGTTTTTGTTTTGTTTCGTTTTGAGACAGGGTCTCACTCTGACACCCAGACTGGAGTGCAGTGGTGCAAACATGGCTCACTGCAGCCTCGAACCTCCTGGGCTCAAGCAAGTCTCCCACCTCAGCCTCC